CGCTGCCCCTTCCAGCGGTCTCCGTCCCGGCTGGGGGGGACGGCGGGGCTCCCTCGGGCGGGGAACACCGGCCCCAGCGCAGGCCGCAGCTCAGGCGTCCCAGGCTTCGGCCACCACGATGGCTACGGCGGGGGGCGGGCTGCAGCCAGCCTGGGGCTGTCGGGCTGCTGCGAAGGGGACGGTGACAGTCTCCGCTGCCGCTGCTAAACCGACCGAGGGTCTTCACCCAGGTCTCCGGCTGTGCCGGCTACTGATGGCTGACACGTGCCCAAGCCTCTCCCTCCCTGCGGAAAAAAAAACCTGCGGCTGCTCTAGTGAAGCTCTGGTCACTGACAAACACTTAAATGTACTTGAACACACAAGCTAAGTACACCTGAACTTACTGAGGGGCCAGGCCAGGAAGATACTAAAACACATCAGTCTACACTTTTCAATCAAAAAAAGGATTTAAGACGGTAACAACGATGCTGGAATCACGGCACCGAGCCACGAAATGAGATGGGCCCAAGGTCCTCTTCCCTCCCACCCCGAGTGGGCTGGGGAGCAGCTTGAGTTACAGAACAAGGACACAACACGAAATTCTTCACAACCCAGATTTGTTCTACTATGAGCAAGCTTTGATTCATCTATTTGATGTTAAAATAAATGCTTGCATCAAAGCAGCTAATGGAGTTAGGCCTTCCAGCATCAGCAGTTCTAGAAATTTAGAAAGCACCTTCTCATTTTGAATGTCTGACAAAACAAATCAGGTGCCCTGTGAAGATGTAGGATGGTTACACATGCAGAAATAATTTAGATCAACCTGAATCATGACCTCAGTATTACGATACAGCTCTATTGATATAATACTTAAATTCTTAGTTGTTTCACAAGCAAAACCTAATGTAAATATACGCTGTTGTACCACAGACTACAAGACTATTAATCATCTTGTGTATTTCAGCTAAGGAACCTTCTATGATGCAATGGAAGTTATTTCCAGGGCTTTCACATTCATATTACCGTGGATCTCTCTGAGAGGGCACCTTCTGGTGCCATGAAAGGGCCCACAACTGTTGAAACCAGCAAACAAGGCAGTTCTTCCCAGCAGAGAGCCGTGACGAGCCAGCTGAGCTGCTACACAACTGGGTCAACACCACACTTGTACAGTTCAGAAATGTGGAGCACAAGGAATTGAGCTTGCATCAGTGGGCAGGAATGAGTAGAGCTCCGGAAGTAGTTTTTATTCAGCTTTTTATCTATAGCAAAATTCCAAGGATGCACACATCCATCTGAAGAGTTCCATTTGATTTAGTTTCTTTCCTGTCCCTGCTTACCGGACATTTGGCATGCCAACAGTTCCAAAGTTTTTCATACATTACATCTGAGTTGGATGCAGAAAATGCTTTTTGTATAAAAAACCTTACAATTGATAAGTTAAAAAAAAAATAATCTGAAAAATGTCTAATATTAAACTCTGATTCAGTGACAAATGCAAACAATCCTTTTTAATGATTACAGAATTTCAGTTTCAGGCACTTCACTTTATGACAATATAATAAAAAAAGTCCTGTTTCATTGCTCTACATAGAATATTCCACCATAAGTTTTCAAGGCACAATTTCTATGTGCAGCTATTTGCCATAACAAAGTTTTGAAAAAATAATCATATTGAAGTTTTGTAAGTTCTCTTTAAAAAGCAAAGGTAGCCTTCTGTAAAACATTAAATTTTACATCAGCTACATTCTGTTGGTCTTTTGTAGGAATTTCGTAACACAATGTCCAACTATTCTCTCATATATTCACACTTAATTGCAATTTGGTTTTTTTTTGTATTAAAAGGCAATTCTGTGAAGTGTTGAAGTGTTAAGAGCTTGTGCCAATGTCATTCACAGACATGCCCATAAAAAGAACCACCTTCCAAAATTACAACTAGTGTAGTCTCAGTCTAGAATAATTTGTTCAGGAGCTTGTTAAGGTCTGCAGTATTCAAAATGTCAACACTGCAACAAAATCTTAAAGAACATTCAGTAATGGGCAAAAGAGTAAGCATTCCATTTTGCTGTGGAAACCAATTGAGTTGATTCAACTATTGTCAAGGAGGTTTTAATTTTTAATGTCAAACCTCAGTTGATGGATAGACAGCTAAAGTACATTCAAGAAGTAGCTTGACTCCTGGCATAAAACTACAGACACAAGAAAAAGGAGGTGGGCGAAGAGCTGCTGACACTGTGGTTTCTTAGAAGAGGCAAGTGCCCTCACATTCTACTTAGCTGAGCAGAAAACAAAACTCATTCAGGAAGCTTAGCTGCTTAAACTCAAGAACACTGTACAGTATTGGTTGACAACTCCTTTCCCCAGAAGGCAGGAAGAAGCAACATTCATTGTTATTCCATTCAGTATTCTCAGTTCTTAAAACAACACTTGTTACGAGATGGGTCTTCTAGAATTATAAACTTTAACACCATTCTGCATTGAGGAGCGAGCGTATTTTGTCAGAAGAGCACCAACAGTCTGCTTCTCTGCACATAAGTCTCTACAGAGGAAATAAAGCAGATGACATTGGCATTAGAGGTATTCTCACACAAAATGAATCTGTGAAATACTTGTAAATATAGCAATAAAGTTGTATTAGAGCATTGGGAGGAAAATAAATACTACTGTAACTGTCACATAATGCTTTAAATTACCCAAAGTTTAGAACTTGGCTTGACATTTGAGCAACAGGCAAAACTACATTATTCACTTCAGAAACAAAGATTTTGTTTTCTAAGGGAAGTTGCTTGGTTTTTATTATTACTGTTCTCTAAAGGGTTTTCAATCTAGCAAAACAGTTACCTTTGAACTACTTAATTATAGTACAGTAAATTTAGAGCCACTCATAACGGTTTGATGCAGTTAATTCTAGGTTACCAGGTGTATCTGCTCAGGCACATCCTGGCTGGGCATGCCAGGTAGCACTGTAGTGTGTTAACCACCTAAAGAGCAAAGGACACAGTACAGGAAGCAGTATTGCTCTGTAGCTCTTGTGTTGTAAATATGGAGACTGACTATAAATGTCGTAAGGTTTATCCTTTGAGTTAAGCCTGCCTCAATCAAATAAGACAGAGTTATCGCCCATTTAAAATCAGTAGGATCAGCTTTCTACACAAGTTCAAATCCAACAAATACAGCTACAGTTCCCAGGGGCAGGGATTCTATTCATAGAGAATTCACATTCATTTAAAATGGGAAGTATCATATTTGAGGCAACCAAAGCTGATAAATCAGCTGTGCAAAAAGGGAAGGATATAACACTAATTACATTGTAAGAGATGTATGCTTACTGTATATAAGGGGCAATATCCACTTCTGTCCACTTCTCCCGTATGCTGAATAAGCTGTTGAATCGTTGCTGATTGTCTTCAGGTAAGTCTTCTACTTTGAGCAGAAAGATGGTCTCTGGTCTTGAGCTTTTATCGACAAGAGCCAAGCCCTGTAGATCAGCATCAGAGAGAAACTGTTAAGTAAAGACAACACAATTAAACTTCCTTCTTTCTGGTAATAATCCATTTGAGTTGCCCTTTGCACATCCAAAGCCGTCTAGAACTGCACTACAAGACACAAAGTGAAAAAGTATCATAAAGGTGCTGTTTTACAGGCAGTATTTATCATTTCCTTTATGACAAGGGAGGAGTTCCATCATCTCTCTGCCTCCTTTGAGCAGAAGGATTTCCACAGAGCTTGCTGCTCTACTGGCTGTCACTACAGACTGCTTGACAACAGCTCCAGCTTCTGTTCCAGTTACATTTACAAGTATTAACTGTACAGCTGCAACTTTTCTTCAGTGAAACATGCCAGAGTTACAGAAACCTGTACTGTCACGATTCCAGGCTACTGATCTGTATTGTTACAAATCCAGACCACTGCTGCTCATGAAGGATGTAATAAGAAGTACTTTACCTCAAAAGCTGACAGAAATAACACAATCAATAGCCATTAATCAATAAAATGGACATATGACAAGTCAGTTAACAGCCTGCTCATGAAAGAATCCATACTTCTTTATGTTTTTACCTTAAGCTGATCAAGCCTTGTTGTCATCCCTTCAGGGACACTTTGTTGCCAGACTTCTTGAAACTCTGACAGATTGAATTTAACTGCATTTTGCAAAAGCATTTCTGCTGTAGCTCTGCATATTTTATCTTCACACATTTCAAAGTAAACCTCCCCTGCTGAGAAACAAAAACCAGGTTATCTTAGGTCCTTGCTTTTTGATGAAAGAACAGAGAACAGCCTCAAATTTCCATTCTGTTCTACAGTCTTCTAGAAACCAAGTGTCTTGTTTTTTCTTTTCCTCAGGGAGTAAGTTGACTCAGTAATACTTTAGATAAATCATGGTATCTTCGTATTCTCAAGAGAATATTATGTGTGTGTGTAGCACTGTCCAAGCTACAGTATTCATTCATATCAGTAAATGTATTTTCCTCCCATCTTTTCCCCTTTCACAGTAACACCATTTCTCCTACCGCTTTTATTCTTATTTCTGAATGGCTTGTATTAAAGTGTTTGCTGCCTGTGGTTGAACAATTAAACAAAATTTTCACTTCCTTTATCATCCTTATGAGATGCTCAAGGGAATAATGAGAATTTATTTTCTTTCACACCGACTTGGCTAAAATTCTCTGAGCAACGTCAGGCGTAAACACTTCCTTCCACTTTTTCAGTCACCTGGACTTCTTGCAATTCCTTGTGCAACCTGCCTAAATATACCAAGAAGATAATCTGTGCCACTCCAACTACTTTCCTATGTCCTTTAAAGTTGAGTGCAACTCCTGCTTCAGCCAAAGGTGACATGAAAATAACTGTGGGGAAGAATTCAGATTGAGATTAAGGCACTGAAATATTATGGCTGTATGTGAGATGGGCAATGGAGATTTAATCAGTACAATCAATGGAGCTTGTGGTGCAGTTCAAGGGACTAAAGGCAGATGTCTACTTCAGGTGAGATGAATTCGGGGAGATCTACAAGCCATTAATTGCCTAAACATCTGACACCTCCTAGAGTATCTAAAGAGAGATCCCATCTGAATTTTACTAGTGATCTGTCTTTCATCAGAAAATTATAGCTTGTAGACACCTCATAAATCACTTCAGGTACCTATGATAGTTCCTCATTTTTCCCCCAATGTCTTGTACAACGTAACAGTCCTTTTTCCTATTAAGCTTTCTCTAACAATTTTACTGATTTTTAGCCCATGGTTTGCTCCCTCCTTTTCCTGCCACTGTAGCAAATTCCTTTATTTGGGCCATCCTGTGGTGGGTTGACCCTGGCTGGACACCAGATGCCCATTAAAGCCGCTCTATCACTCACCCTCCTCAAGTGGACACGGGAGAGAAAAATATAACAAGAGGCTCAGGGGTCGAGATAAGGACAGGGAGAGATCACTCACCAATGACCTTCATGGGCAAAACAGACTCGACTTGGGGAAATTAGTTTATTACCAACCAAAGCAGAGTAGGGTAATGAGAAATAAAAACAAATCTTAAAATACCTCCTCCGCCACCCCTCCCTTCTTCCTGGGCTCAACTTTACTCCAGAGTTCTCTACCTTCTCCCCAACAATGGCACAGGGGGATGGGGAATAGGGGTTGTGGTCAGTTCATCACATGTTGTTTCTGCCTGTCCTGGATTTGCTGCTCCTTCCTCCTCAGGTGGAAGACTCCTCACACTCTTCCCCTCCTCTAGAGTGGGGTCCCTCTCATGGGAGACAGTCCTCCACAAACTTCTCCAGCTTAAGTCCTTCCCACAGGCCACAGTTTTTCAAGAACTGCTCCACTGTGGGTCCCTTCCATGGGGTACAGTCCTTCAGGAACAGACTGCTCCAGCACGGGTCCCCCACGGGGTCACAAGTCCTGCCAGCAAACCTGCTCCAGCATGGGCTCCTCTCTCCATGGGACCACAGGTCCTGTCACGACCCTGCTCCAGCATGGGCTTCCCACAGGATCACAGCCTCCTTTGGGCATCCACCTGCTCTGGTGTGGGGTCCTCCATGGGCTGCAGCTGGACATCTGCTTCACCACGGACTGCAGGTGGACAGCCTGCCTCACCATGGTCTTCATCACAGGCTGCAGGGCAGTTTCTGCTCCACCGCCTAGAGCACCTCCTCCTCCTTTTTCACTGGCCTTGGTGTCTGCAGGGTTGTTTCTCTCACATATTCTCACGCCTTCCTCTGGCTGCAGTTGCACAGCAACTTTTTCCCCTTCTTAAATACATTATCACAGAGGCGCTATGGCCATCGCTGATGGGCTCAGCCTTGGCCAGCGGTGGGTCCATCTTGGAGCCGGTGGCATTGGCTCTGTTGGACATGGGGGAAGCTTCTGGCAGCTTCTCACAGAAGCCACCCCCGTAGCCCCCCCACTACTAAAACCTGGCCACGAAAATCCAACACACATCTTCACAAAATCTGCATTTACTCCTGAATAACTATTTCCTTTATGCAAAATTAAAATTATGCATGCTTTCCCAAACTTACCATCATCAATGTATTTCCTTCCATAGCTTAAAAGAATATGTTCTATCATCTCTCTAAAAAAACCCAAACAAACAACAAAATCAGAAATCAAGGTTTAAAACTGTTCATTAGGACATTATAGAAACAGTTACCAAGAAGGTGAAGGGACAGGTAAAGTAAAAAATCAAGGGGAATGGAGGATGGGACACATCTTCACAGCTGGAATGAAGAAATTGTTAAAACTTAGAAGTAAAATAAAGAGGACAAAAAGGACAGATGGGAGTTAATTCAGCATGTTATCCCCAGAAGTCCCTTCCACTTTCTAGTTATAACTAGCAAAGACTAAAAGGCATAAGGAGAATAAGGAAAAGAGTCTTTCAATGTTACTTCTTTCCAATAGGAAGTGACATAAGTCACAGATTTGGCAGCTAATTATCCCTTACTGAATAGCAGGCATTTTTCTAGACCTTTGGCATAAAATTACAACCTAACTGCAGACTCTAATACTAAATCAAGATTTGAGACCAAAGCCAAATAGATAAAAAAACACTACTTATTGTAAACTTAAGACTTTGTTTGAATGGTCATCTTATTTCATGACTCCAAATGGCAGTACAATAAACTCAACTCTTAAGATCTGAATTCAGTATTATACCAGAAATTATATCACCACCTCAGACTTTACACCAGAGGTAAGCATTTTTGGTGAGCTTCAGAACAAGTATTTCAAGAGGGTCAGCAATTTACGGCATAAGTACACGCTACTTCCATCATTTACAATTCAGCAGTGATGTTTTTACAATTTAATAAATGGAAATATTACCAATAGACAATAAAATCAGTTTACTAACCTGCTGTCTAAACTAGTAATGCCCTTGTATATTTTAGAGCCAAAGAAAATATATCATTAACACCATGTTAGCTGGAATCGAGAGTTATAAGACTATAATTCTAATAAATAATTAATAACAATTGCAGACAATTTTAAGTACTAAAAGTAATTGCTTACGTGGGCTCTAGAGATCCAAGTTCCTCAAGGCAGGTACGTAAAGGAACCTTACTTAGAGACCAGGACTCCGAGTCTATTAGCTGAGTCACGTGATTCAAGAGTTTCATCTCATAGTCAAAATCCAGAATTCTCCAATATCCTGCCAAATAGAAAACCACAGAACAGTGACAGAAGGAAAACATCTAACATGTTAATTCTGTTCCCCTGAAGATACACTACAGGAATCTGGATGTTTAGGTCACACCTTTACAACGTACAGTAACAGCATTCTGTCCTTTTCAGGATTAAAACTGAGAAAAAGAACAGAATAGTAATAGCAAATGTAAAGGAGAAAGAAATAAAATAATTAAATTATTCATAACTGTTTATGTAGATTAACTGCCACAGATACAAAGACACTGCAAATCCCACATCAAGATGAATCAGGCCTGGAAAAACGAATAATTCAGGCACAGAACTGCATGAACAGAACTGGCTGCAGTGGCACTACAAAGTGGCAGTTCGGGTCCAGCCAAATCCACAGAAATCCAGATGTGACAAAGCACAGACCTGGTACAATGGTGCTGTGCAGCTGTAAATGACAAAGAAAGTCACCTCCGAGATCCTCGCCTACGAAATGGGACAGTATAGAGAAAACGAAGCAGAAGTCTTCCCAGTGGTGCTCAGTGATGGGACAGGAGGCAACAGGCACAAGCTGCAACAAGGGAAATCCCAGCTGGGTATTAGGAGAATTTTTTTTCTCCTTGCAGATAGTCAAAACACTGGAAGAGCCTGGACAGAGGCTGTCAGTCTCCATCCTTGGAAATGGTCAGAACTTGACCAGCCGAGGCCCTGAGCAGCCAGCTCCAAGGTGGCCCTGTTCTAAAGCTGGGGTTTGGATCTGATAACCTCCAGAGCTCAGTTCTGCCCTATATTGTTCTGTGACTCTAGGACTGCTGCCACTCAGCATCCAGTTGAGAGTTTGGGCTCGGTCAAGTACAGGATGAGGAGGACCTGTCCCAAGGTGAGGCATTTGCTCCAGCCTTGCCTCGCATAGCAGGAAGACTTCTGAGATAAGCCCAGTCTGGGAAGAAGAAAGGACTATGAAAGGGCTGGGGTTACCTAAGGGTCAGCTATTTTTTGCCTTCAGAACTGCAGAAAGCAGTATCCTCATCCGTGAAGAGGGCAACCAGCCAAAAAATATTCATGCTATGGGTGGGATACTCTGGTGACAGTGTTTGTAGAAGCAAAGAAGGAGTTACCCCTGGGAAGAGACAGACTGGTCAATGCCTGCTTGGTTTTATCCTTTTGATCAGCTTCATAGCAGCAGAGGACAGACAGGAAATACGGAAGCAGATCTTAGTACTTTGAAGTAACTTGCACCTTGAAAGACAAGGATGTGGAATGGGCTTTAAAAAAAAGACAGGAATTTTTTGGGGAAAAAAGCCCCCAACAAACCAGGGTTATTTTCTCATAGGCAATAATAATCTTAGAGACAAATACCTTCAATTTTGCAGGCATCTATAACCTGCAAGTGGTGCAGTATTTCTTCTTCACTTGCTTGAATCAGACTTAATAAATCTTCTGTTGTATACTGCAACAAGGGAAAAAAAGAAGGAAAGAAGAAACAGATCACTTGCTCCTCCTTTGCTTCAGCAAGCATGCTAAATGCATTATAAGATATAATGAAAGAAAGACTTAGAAGATTGATGGTTTTTTTCCCCACACTCTCTATTTTCTAAAGTTTTCCATACTCTCAAACTTTTCCTCTAACTTACAACATTTTCTCAAAGGGTTATTCAACGTAAAAACCAGTCCAACTACAGGGAAGTCTTTGTGCCATGCATAAATATACCTGTGTTCCCAGGATGTCAAACTAGCCCAGGTAGGCATTGTAAGTAAAGTACCACAGCAAGAGAGAAAAGTGACTGTGTTCTGTCTTTCCTAAATCACATGTTTTGATCCATGAGATTAAAATAAAAGGCAAAACAAAAATCACTTATCACTTTTGGATAAGTCAGAAGTCAGTACTCCAACTTAGTACCTCCACTGAGGGAAAGCCTCCTCCAGCATGACCTCAACAGTTATGTGTTGTTTTGGTTTCTGCTAACTGACTAGCAGACAGGTAGCACAGACCCAGCCACAGTACATCCAGCTTCCTGCAGAACAGTTACTTGGTGAGATGGCAGGGTGCTATGGATACTGTGGTATGTATTCAGGAGACATGGGAGGAACAGAAGGTATCACGAGGAGTGAAGCAAAAGGAAGGAACACCAGACTTAAATCCATAGGAAACTGGGTTTCATCAATTCCTTTATTCACCTTACAGCCTTTTTAATCAACCCTAATATTAAAGTTATGTTGATTATAGCTTATTTCCTATCAGAAAATTTAAAAAATGGATTAAGTACTTGATAGCTATTAGACTATGGGAACACAAATGGAACAAGCCAACACTAAATTTAGAACATCCACATGTTAAGAAAACATTTAATAAATAAGGAAAAGTCTTCTCTTCCTTCTGTGCCATTTCTATTAGACAGTATGTTGAACCATCATCAGGCTAAGCAGCACTGAACTCACATCAGTATTTCAGCAAAGGATGACCACATTATACAGTACTTTAAAAAAACACTGCTGGCAATTTAGAGCAAATATATTTCCAGATCAGTATGCAAGTGTGCTTGCGAGTTAAATACTGCCATTCAGATAAGAGGGTGCACAGGAGTCCTTGGCATTTGTTTCCCCTCCGAGGGCTGGCTAACATTCCAACAGGTTTGTTGGGGGTTTGTTTGTGTGGGGATTTTTTTTTGTTGTTGGGTTTTTTTTTGGGGGGGGGGTTTAAGAAATCACTGCTCTCAGCTACAATGCTTTTATCAGCTGCATCACCCTTACAAACAGAAAATGGAACGGCCTGACTGGCATCATGTCCATACCAGCAATTTCCAGATAAGGATAAGAAACATATTAGATATATTAACTCAGACACGTTCAATTATTTGAGTATGCCTTGCCATCTCACTGTAAAAATCCAGGATTTTAATTTGGTGCATCCTCAGGAAGTTGTGTACTAGCCTGTTCCTCAGTTTTCCTGTCATTTGCTAAACCACATCACTATGTATCAGGCTTCCTTACAGTAATTCCTTATAGTGCTATAGTTCCTTTTGGTTCCTTTCCTGTAGTCCTCTGTGTATGATACAGTACAAACAACTGAAAACCCTTAGAAGTTTACAGTAAGCCACCAAAACATAGTTATTTGTTTTCAAACAGATTAAAGATGGCAACAAATATATTGCCAGCACCCAACAAATATTAAGTGTAAGAAAACAACACAGCAAAAATTTTTACTACACACGTATTGTTTCAGATTCCAGTGAGAATTAGAGAAAGAACTTTCCCGTGGAGAGCTTTCAGGTCAAGTTCCACCAGCAGCATAGCTAAGATTCATCTACATTTATCAGATCTATCCAGTTGTTCTCCAGTAAGATGATACATGAAACATTCTCTTTCAAAACAAATGGAGATCAGTCCTCTAACTAGGCACTAATATTTATGGAGACGTTGACATATTTTTATAAAATTAATTTAATATTACCAGTAAATACTATTGCATGTAGTATAAAGACATCTTTTTGTGTTGCTAGCCTTTGTCAATGTTCATAATTTCTGGACAATTTAAGCTCTTTTCCCTCTGCCATCCTTTATTTTGCTGCTATGTCCTAATATGCCTAGACCAGAGTACGTAGGAAAAATTAAAGTGGGGAAAGGCAATGTTGGGGGAAAGATTCTGAAACTTACCTGAAATTAGGCTGTTAATCATCCAGAGAGACCCAGCATTTCTCTCCAAGGGAGACTAGTTACATCTATGTTTGTACATGTACACAGATGGTTTGGTGGTATTAGCTTCAATCAAGCCTTAGTGTAAAATACTTTGGAGCAACCATTTCTGTTCTTTAAAGAAAACCAACCAAACTAACAAAACCCCAGGATTTTTATGAGCCTTTTATCTGAGATCATACACTACACAGTCCAGGTCTCTCCATTACTAATTATACCCTAAACTGGATTTCCTGGAAACATAAAAGGGCAGCAGGAAAGGATTTTATTTGTGTTTTCCCTTCTTGTAGTGTTGGTCTTACTCTCTGCCTTATATCATCTTTGTCATTCTCTGCAACTCTCTGCTTCTCCTTGTCATCATAAATTACTGACTGGCAAATGACTTGTATGTGGGTGTTCTGTGACATCATACTTAGCTCATACATGACAACCCCCAAAAAGGAGGAAAGGCTACATTACACCTTAGTAATCATATAACTCTCAAGGAATTTACAAAAGGTTCTGAATACTGTCTTCAAGAAACTCCCCACATAAAAAGGGAAATCACCAGTCTCTCTTGGTGTTCTTCCTTTTCCTCTTTTTACTAAAAAAAGGTGGCTTACCTGCTACTCAGTGGAAGTGCTAACAATTACCAACCATAGGCTTAAAAAATTAACTGGAAGCAGCACTGTGAAACATATGAGCAAGGGTATTTCTCTAGTTAAGAATGTATCTTCACTTTAATTTGCCCATTACCAATTACAAGAAAATAATTTACATAGCTGATTTACCCTTGAAAATGTTGGAGTCTGATCTTTCTGACTATCTGGCCCTTTGTATGGATCTTCCATCAAAAGCTTCCTCATTTTCTTCAGTTTAGGTCGGCATCTTCTTAATTCCCAATAGTTTTTGGAAAAGCCAGCAATCTACAAGAAAAAACAGTGACCCTTAAAACATTTTAATCTAGCATTTGGATTCAAATAAGCCTACCAAAAATTATCAGCAAAAAGTGCTAATCTAGTCACTGAGAACAAGAATTTATTAATAGGGTAATTACTTTAAAGATGAAACAAGCATTGTAATATTTTCAATTAAAAAAACTTACAGCAGGTAATTAAGAATAAAATTCCACTGTTGCTTGATAAAAATATGTTCATAGTGCATATGACAAAGGGAACAACTCATGTCTACATGCAAATAATAGAATATAATCATGAGATATATTCCTGCACCATCCCCATCAACATTTCTCTTCCTCTTATACTAAGTTATATTACTGTCACAAAACCGCTCCTCTGTTATCCTGTTTCCATCTTGCCCCCTTCTTCCCATGCCTGGGATCTACTTCATGGTCTTTTCACACCTTAGTGAATCATCATATCACTAAGCTCAAGCAAAACAGACTTTAACAAGACAATAAGCTACACTTGCACACAACTAAGAAGACATCTCTGTTCCTTACTCTGATTCGACACACAAATTAAAAGCACACAACAGGAAGTTCAGGTGTAATTGACTGAATAACACTCATCTAATAAAACCATACCTTTAGAATAATCCTGAGGAGCCTCACAGGGTACAGCTTAAAATTCCTAGAAGATTCTTTGCAGGGGGACAGAGTATCAGAAGCCTTTCAGCATTGTTTCTGCTATTGACCGAACCAACAGAAGTGGGAACAGAATGGCAGAGGCAGAACAGGCTCCAGGTTGGTGATTCCTGACCCAACCATTAGCCCCTTGTAAAAAAGCCTCCATGAAAAAGCCTCCAGATAGTATTTTAAATGCCCTAAATGCTTTACTAGACTACCTTTTTTTTTTTAAGGTCATCCATTAAAAAAGCTGAGAAAACTTTAAATAACATTCCATTTAAATCAATTATAAGCAAACCATTTATATGCAGAAGAAGTCCTACACAAATTCTAATACAGGGAAAGCTCTCAGTTTTAAATCTAACTATTCCATAGCTTGCTTGGCACAAAATTCAGGTAAATACTGATTTCATAGAATCATAGAATGGTTTGGA